GGGCACGGGCGAGTGGCGGCCCAGGCAGCTGTCCTCAGCGAGGCTGGTTCGAGGTGACATTATTGGCGAGGTTCTGGGGGAATAATGAGCAGGGATGTTTTGAAACTGGGGACACAGGTCGTCGGGCCCGCCGTTATTGGGCGAGACGCAGGGCGAGGTGTAGGGGGAGAAGGTGTCGGAAATGAAGCTGGCAGAGGAGCCGCTGCTAGCGGGGCTCAAGCAAAGCGGCTGCTCGCGGTAGCCCTCGAAGCCGGGCACGGGCAGGGTGAACCTCGGGCTGGCGGCCGCCCCCGCCAGGGGCGCCTGCTCCCCCAGGAGGCCAGTGTCTCTCATACGGAGGCCCCCCCCTGCCTGCATCAGTTCGTGGGACGGAGTGATCTCGATCCGAGGGCTCAGGCCCGAGGCCCCCGCTGGCTTGGCCGGGCTCAGAAAGTTCTGGGTCCCTATCCTATCCGGCTCTCCGAATCGGCCGGGGGACTCGCCAGAGAGACTGGCGAGGGGGTTGTATGGCTTGAGGCCATAGTCCAGGACATCATCATGGTATGCAAGTCCGGAGTGTGGGCTGGCGACCTTATGTGCATTCGGTTCTTCTGGAAAGAGAAGGGGGGAGGGGAGGTCTTTTTAAGCCTCTAGAACAGAACTCCCAAAGCAGAGCAATCACAGGCTGGGTTTGTCTCCTGCTGTTTGTTTATTGTTTAAATCCCCACCACGCCAAACCCCAGGCTGGACCATACTTCCCTCACCAGAAGGAAAGGGGGCTGCTTTATCCCAGGCTCCGTGAAGGGCAAGGTCACAGCAGAAAGGTTTGAGGGCAGGTGCACCGAGCATGGCCCGGCCAAGCTGGGAAGCGTCAGCTGGAGGCCTGGATGACCACCTGGCTAATGACTTCCAAACCCTTGTCTCAATGGGGCCGTCAGAAGAAATGCATTTTATTTCACAACCTCGCTCACGCCATCACATTCACTCCCAACTGAAACAAAGGCTTCGCAAAACAATACTTACCCTGCTACATGCGACACCCTCATCACACACACATACACACACACACCCAACTGAGGTTACTTTTCTTACAGGCTGGTCACAACCCATTCAACAGGTTTCCTGTCCCACCAGTGGGCTATGACACCCAATTTGAAAACCTCGGACCTAGGCCCACCTCATATCTCTACGTGTCTGACACAGATACGGGAGGCAGAGGGAGGACGCACGGGCCTGGAGTGCATGGAGCTCTGGGGTCAAACCTCAAATATCCATGCTCGAGTATAAGAAGTAGCTTAATTCTGAACCAGAACTCCTGACTCATGTCTTATCTTGTGCCATTTCACAGATAAGGAAACTGAGGGCCTGGGAGGGGAAGAGATTCACCCTAAACCACAGAATTAGCAGGATTAGAAATCCCACAGACAAACCACTTGGCCCCCAAAAGGCAAGGCTCTGGCTATAGAGTCTTCCAAACTATCACGCCAGTAGCTGGAGACACCCTAATTGCTTCTCTTATAGTAGCCGTCTAGCGCAGGCTACTGCTGCCACCTCAAAAGGCCCCACGGCTGGAGACTGGAACTAGCAAGGGAACCAGCTGTCCATTCCTGCCACCCCTCACCCATTCCTCCTCCAATCTGCCCAGCTCAGCACAGGCCCCTCCATTCAGCCTTGACTCCGCTCTGCCACACCCTGACGTCCAAGCCATCAGGAAATCCTGACCGCCACTGTTGATTATAAACCAAATTCATGTGTCACCCCTTCCCACTATAGCCACTCAGGTCCAAGCTACTGTCCTCTCCCATCTGGGCCACTGTAGCGGCCTCTTCCTGGCCTCCCCATTTCCAGCCTTGCTCTGTGTGGTCTGTTCCCCACACTGCAATCTTTTGGAACATCCATTTCTGAAATCCACTTGAAAGGCTTTCCCGGACATTATACTAGTAGATGTGATCTAAACTTCTTAACACACCTGTCCCTGGGCCCTGGCTTGTCTTGCCCCTCCCACCTGTCCCCTCTTCTCCCCAACCTGACTCAGCAACAGCCCAGGGACACCTGGCTTCCCATCAAGCAGAGTCTGCCTCTGAGTTCCTGAGTGCATTTCTCCCTCTGCCTGGAAACTCTTCCCACAAGGTCTTTACTTGGCCGCTTCCCTGATTCCTTCACGTGCCTGCTCAGCCAAGACCTCCTTAGATTGGCCCATCAAAAAGATCATCTCTATCCTCACCCCAGTGTCTTTCTCCACCCCTTTTCCCTGACATCTTTTTCCATTGGCACCAGCTACCAGCTCACATCACATCAGATATTTATCTGTTTAGGGAATTCCATCCCACGAGATCAGGGGCAGGCAAACTACAGACCCTGGGCCAAATCCGGCCCACAGATTGTGTTTATAAATAAAGTTTTATTGGAACACAGCCACTCCTCTATTTGTTTGCGTATGGTCTATGGCTTGCTTTTGCACTATAACAGCAGAGTTGGTAGCCGAGACGGAGACCATATGGCCCACAAAGCCTAAAGAATCCACTATCCGACCCTTTATAGAAGTTTGTGACTCTGCACTAGGGTCTATACTCCACTGAGGTTGGAACCATGTCTATTATCACTCAGCGTTGTTTGCCAAGCACCTAGCACAGGCACTAGAGATTGTCCATACCCTTTTGTTGAATGACAGAACAAATAAGTAAGTGAAAATATATATGTCCAAGGGCCTGCCAGGCAGAAATGGGGCCTCTTCCTAAAGTTGTGTGGCTGGCCCGTTTTGGGGAGTAGGGTGGCTGCACAAATGATCCTCAACCTCCTTGGTTCCCCTTCCGGGCCATCCTGGAGATGCTGTCGGGCTTAGCAGGGCTGATCTTACAGGGTCCAGACGGTGCCCGCCACCCCCAGGTGAGAGCTCAGAAATGGCTTCCCACAGCTCTTAGGGGAGGGATGGGGAACCTTGTTTCTGCCAAGGGCCATTTGGATTTTTTTAAAATATATTTTTATTGATTTCAGAGAGGAAGGAAGAGGGAGAGAGAGAAACATCAATGATGAGAGAATCATCGATCGGCTGCCTCTTTCATGCCCCCTACTGGGGATTGAACCCGCAACCCAGGCATGTGCCCTGGACCGGAATCGAACCTGGGACCCTTCAGTCTGCAGGCCGACACTCTATCCACTGAGCCAAACCTGCGAGGTCCATTTGGATATTTATAACATAATTCGAGGGCCATACAAAATTATCAACTTAAAAAGTAGCCTGCTATATTTGGCCAAACATTTAATTAACTCACCCCTAATGCTTTGGCTGGGCCAGACCAAATGATTTCATGGTCCTTATATGGCCCATGGGCCGGACATTCCCCTCCTGTCTTAGGGGAAAGCTAAATAACCTCAACAAGGCCAGCCTGGCTGGGCTCTGCCTGCCCCTCTAGCTTAACCTCTCTCACTGGACTCCAGCCAAACTGGCTATCTTCCTGTTCACAGAAAGCATCGCACTCCTTTCTGCCGCAGGACCTTTGCACTTGCTGTTCCCTCCACCTCCACTGCTCCTCCCCACCCGTACCCAGGCACTTCTCCACATAACTAAAGCCACTCATTCCCTCCAGGTAAAGCCTCATGTGCTTGGGAGGGTTTCCCGACCTCCTTGACTGCATCAGACCCCATTCATACTTCCCTGCTCTGTTCCATGCACTATCCAATGCATTACAATTAAGTAATTCTGGGTTCATTCATCTATTGCCAGGCTCTCCCCCAACCTCCAGGCCACCCCCACCAATCAGTCAATTCCGTGAGGACTCTCTCCCTCCCCACTGTATTCCTAGCATGTGGACAGGGCCTGCCCACAAAGCAAACCCTCAAAAACAAAAAACAAACAAACAAAAAACTATTTGTTGGTTGGGTGAACGAGTAAATAAAAGTGAGCTCAGAAAAGTCTATATGAGATTTTTAAACTACTACTCAAAGATGCTAATATCTATACCAAACGATAGAAAGATGTAACCTCGAAGAAGGTAATTTAAAAAGGGATGGAGCCTGGCTGGGTGTCCTTGTCCCCCACACTCTTGCCAAGATAGTTATCAAGCTTTTTTATTTCTGCCAATCTGATAGGTGAAAATTGATATCTCAGTGTGGTTTTAACTTACATTTCTTTTATTAAGAGTGAAGCTCTGAGTCACGGCTAGGTTGCTCAGTTGGTTGGAGCATCATCCTGTGCACCAAAGGATTGCGGGTTTGACTCCTGTTTGGGGCACATACCTAGGTTGTAGGTTCGATCCCCAGTTGGGGCACGTGTGGAAGGCAACGGAGCGATGTTTCTCTCCCTCCCTCCCTTTCTCTCTCTAAACATATCCTCGGGTGAGGATAAAAAATTAATTAAAGAAAGAAGATAAAAAGGGATAAAAAAGTTCTTCCCGCATGAAAATGGAATGACTTCAAGATACAGTGTTAAAACAGAAAAGCAAAATTCGTACAGTGTGCACACACACAAATTGCTGCTGGAAGTCACAGGAAACAGTGACTTCCTCCAGCGAGGGGAACTAAGTAATTCGGCAGCCGTGGCCTAGCAGACAGAGGCCTGATTTCTGTATGACCTTGAGAAAAGCAGCACAGTTCCTCAAAGAAACATGTTTTTATTTCATCTTAAAGGTGGCCGTGGCATAACATAATATACAGTAATGACACCCTGGTTTAGGAAGCAGGAAATTGAGAGCTAGTCCTACTCTGCCACTAACTAGCTGTGTGACCGTGGAGAAGTCCCCCACCCACCAACTGTACGTCTCCGCCTTCTCATCTGTAACAGGGACCAGTCTCCTTGGTTGCTTCTGGCTGTGAAGTCCTCTGGCTGTTCTAGCTGAATCTGCAGGGTCTAGAGTTCTTGCGAAGCTGCAGATCAACATAAATTTGAGTTTGTCCGTGCACGCATACACACACACACACACACACACACACACACACACTCCTTCCTGGCAGGTAACAGAGCATAGACTTTCAATCTACAAAGAGATTAACCTCAAATCCATAACAACATCCTGATAATCCACCACCCTGCGAACCAGCAAAACAAAACCCAAAAGGTCTCTTAGCAAAAATTCCAGCCTTATCAGAGAAACTGTATCACAGCTTATCAGAAACACCCCGGCAGGGCTGATGTGAAAAGTCACGGAACTCGGCCATGCGAACACACACCTCTCACACTCCCCGGCAGCCGCTTAGAACGGAAAGGCTGCTTTGCTAAGCAAAAGCCCTGAAAACATTTACATTGGTTTTAATTCATCCAAGCAGCAGTTTCTTTTTCTTTTCTTTTTTCTTCCCCCAGATTTTGAAAGTTGAAGAGCAAGCAGGAAAAGGAAGGTAATTTATAATCATGAAATCCTCAGTCCTCTGAATATCAGACAAATGGCTCATCACTAAGACATGTAAGGAGCTAGGAGCCTTCGCTGCTGCTCTTACACTGCCAGCCTCGCACACGGCTCTCTTTACGTCACTGTGATCCCCGCATGGCACTGGGCGAAGCCAGTTTCATCTCAGAACCACCAACTTTTCTCAGACACGTGGCCAAAAAATCTCGCTTTTCTGACACTTGCATAATCTTTGCTGTAGCAATAATGTACCACCGGTAAATATTATGTAC